TGTACAATATCTTTGATAATAGGCAGTATGCTTTACCTTTTCTAAAATGTTTAATTTTTACAACAACAAAAAAATATGTCGACAATTATTTTACGTTTATGTTGTTGTAAATTGTTTTGTTGAAAAAAAAAACATCTTTAAAATTAAAATTTTCATCTGCTCTATTAAAAGGTTTCACCTGATCTTCAGAAAGTATAGGTGCTTTTATTTTTTCTTTTTTAACTAAATAATTTTGTCATTTGTAGAACTTAGAGTATTAATTTGTGCTTTCTGTTTATAACATCATAATATAAGACAAATTTTCCAATTTATTGGTCAGAGTTTAACTTTGCAGTTCATGTTAATGAGAGATACAGGTCTCCAGTTGCTAATTTGTTTTTTACCTCGTTATTTATATATACGCAAGTGATACACAAGTACACTCGAACATATAATATTTGAGCAGCCGTGGCGCAGTGGTTAGAATTCTGGCTCAGAACCCAGAGGTCCAAGTTTCGACGCCGGCTCTCGCCCAATAAGCGACATTGGTAAGGAAGGAGGCGTGAACTTCTAGTTAAATACTTTGCCAACTATAAATATAGCAAACTATATTTATATTTTAATTTGCCAACTATAACTTTAATATAAATATAGGTGGCAAAATGTCAATTATATTAATAAATATAGTTGGCAAAATGCCAACTCAAAAAGCATTTCAGTTGGCATTTTGCCAACTATATTTATTATATCAACTCAAAAAGCATTTCAAATTGAGCAAAACTTGCTCAATGTGTTAACTCAAATGCTTATATGACAGTTTTGAGATGATGGGGTGGGGGAGTGGGGGGGGGAGGGGGTGTGGAGACACCCGACACCCCCCTCCTTCGGGACGGCCCTGCTCTTTGCATCGCCTCAAACTAGTCGTTAATGATTTCAATTTAGCAGTGCAAATGTGCAATGTGATTAAATAAACTAAATCTATTATTTTTTGTTTGAGAATGCACATAGCGGAGGGCATTAATATCATTGTTTTGTTATATTTATACTAAAAGTCCTTTCTCACAGCCAATAGAAATTCATATGAAAGTCCCTCGTCTATGCGGACAAAGAAAAACAATCCTAGTAGCTAAAACGTAAAAAGTAAAAAACTTCAATTTGAAAACTACTTTAGAAAAATGATATTTGTACAGTACTTAAATTTCATCATATTATATCTGATGAACAGTTTATCTGAAGACAAAACTCGTCATTTCCAGTACTGCAGCCTGGAGACAGTTCAAAAGAAAAAATAATGACGCAATGATTTGGTTTGACTATTGATGCACCCATGATCAATAACAATAAATCAAATAATATATGCAGCTTATCAATTAGTTATTAAGCATAAATGTTTTTCTTCTTATTTAATGTTTGCGTGCAAATTAACTTCCTATATGAAATACAATGCTTGTAGTGAGATATCACACTAGGTGAATAAATTTTACATGCATGCTCTGATTGATTAAAAGTTATGTTTATAATTGTAAAATTAACTACGGTTTACAACTTTCAAACCTTTATTCAAAAAAGTTTTATTTTTTTCAAATTTCCATTTGAAAAAAATGAATCGGAGATCAAGTTAGGGTTATTTTACATTTATTGTCCATTGTTTACATTACCCTCAAACACAAGTTAAAGTTATAATTCTCAAATCACTAAAATGTGAGGTCATTTAATGAACAACAAAAATCAATAATTTTAGCAAAAATAATTTAGTGTTAAAGTGAACAATAAAAATTAATCAAAAAAGAAATTATTTGTGGAAACTTTTAATTGTAATTTCAAATATGCAACTTGCTTGTAATTTCAAATATGCAACTTGCAGTATTTATGGATTAGATAATATATTCTTAACACCGCACACGAACAACTAAACTAACTGTTATGTTATAGTATCAATCTGCCACTATTTATTTTTAATTATTTCTTAACTTATTTATATACCATGGTAATTATAAATTTATTTTGCGGTAATCAACAATTTTAATTTAAAGATGGTTGCTGTGAGCCGCAAAAACAAAATGACTAAAGAAAATGATGAAATTTTACCAGCCATTGTAAATAGTACCTTTTTTAAAATCGTAGCCAGATAAAAAAAAAGTAACAAAATATCAGCATTATGCTTATTATGTGTGCGTTGTGTAGAGACACTATAAAGCACATAAGGCAGATGTTCAGAGAAAATGTAAGCTAGGAAAGGCTGGTGTAGGAAGAACGGCTGATGAAGGCCCTGCTAGTAAGAAGTTCAAACAAATTACGTACCATGAAGCAGCATCTGAATTTTCACCATAATGTTGTATTATATTGCAAGAAGAAGCTGACAATTTAGTTACGGATAGAGATGCTTCCTTTGGCTACGGTTGAAAAACCGGTTTTTATCGACTGCTTCGAGGTTTAATCCTAACATAAGTATCATGTGTCGCAAGACTCTTAACAAACGTTTTAGTTCAAAGCTATCTAGGAGGCATAAAAAAATATGAAGCAAACTGAAAAAAGCATCATTTGTTTGCACTACTGCTAATATCTGGTTAGTCAACAGAAAAAGTTTTCTTTGAGTGATTGTGCATTATATTGAAATACCAATAGATGATTCTAGTTCAGTATCAAAAGCATCTGTATCCCTTGCATGCCATCAATAGTGGTAGTCACGCATATCACACAACTGCTGTGATGATTTCTAAAATTCATTGTCAACATGACCTTAACGTAGAAAAAATCTTAGTAACTGTTACCGACAAATTTTGAAAAAGCATTCAGAGTCAACTACAAGTGCAGCAGCAACTGATGTAATTGTAACTTCTAATATTTTTGAAGAGCAAGAGGACAAGGAAGATGATGAAGTTAATGAGAATGATGATAATGATGATGATGATAATGATGATGATGATAATGATGATGATGATGATGATGATTATGATGATGATGATGATGATGATGATGATGATGATGATGATGATGATGATGATGATGATGATGATGATGATGATGATGAGTCCATAGCCTAAAGTATTTTTTTGCCATTTCATAAAACATGCAGCAGCCATTCACTGAATCTATAGGCAACTAATGATGCTAAGAAGGCATGTGATACAGACAGTACATTTAAGCGTACCTACAGTGCAGGACGGGCAAAATGCACTTCAATATAGAATGCAACTCGACAAATTAGTAAAGCATCAGATGCTGTATCAAATATTACAAATGAAGAAATACTCTGCCCCGTGGCAAAACTTTCGAATTTTTAGTACAATGCTATCAAGCAATTACTAGAATTATGTGACAAACTTAATGATATATGTAATGCTTTGAATGCGTCAAAGTTTGAAAATCAAGAACTAAAATGCCTGCATGAATATGCCTTGGTCATAAGCCTGTTGCTACAACATTGGATACTTTGCAATGGAATAATGTGTATTTTAGCCTTGTGTTTTCACAAAGCTAAAATACACATTATTGCGTAGCTTACAGGTAAAATTCGAAGCGTTTCAAAGTTGCCAGTTAAAATACGGTAAATTACTTTGCTGCAGCATTGTTAGCAAGCATGAAAATTCGTTTTAAAAAAAAGCTGAGATATGATGTCAGTAATTCATACAGGATTGTTAAAGTAGTTTTGCACTCGAATTACGGTGGATGCCAATAAATAAACAAGCTACCTGCAGAGAAATATTTGAAAATGCAATCGTTGACAGCGACCAATGTGAATCGTTGAATGGGACCAATCTCAATGTGAACACTGACAGTACAACTAAAAATTTTTTTATACATAATGTTGACACTCTGCAAGAGTGCATGTTGTATCTGAATGATAGAGATACAAGTTTAAATGCACTGAATGAACAAAACTAAGACTATTCGGTCACTGTTTTTCAAATTCAATACCACTATACCACCGTCGGCTCCAGTTGAATGACTAGTTAGCACTGCGAGACAAATACAAACACCTAGGCGTAGTTGTTTAAGTGGTATAATGTTTGAACGACTGCTGCTGCTAAAAAAAATTTTAATTATAAATGTAGTATAAATGACTAATAACTACTTTTGAGCAATGAGAGTGCGTAAAAATAAATTTTGAAAATGGATTATTTTTTAGTTGCAAGTTTTAAAAGTTGTAAAGTATTTTTTATTTTAAAATTTAGTATTTAAAATACTTTTTTAAAAACATTTTTAGTTTAAATACTTTTGAAGTATTTGTATTTTTATTTAAAATACTTTTTTTTTCCAGTATTTGTATTTGTAGTTCAAGTACTTTTATAAAGTATTTTGCCCAGCACTGACAACAATATACTATACTTGAAATATTTAAGTACATTGGACAGCAATTACATTTAGTTTGTTTAATGTTTTTGTTGAAAACATTTAAATTTTTTCGTTTAAACGTTTTCAACAAAACACCAAACAAACTAAATGTAATTGCTGTCCAAGTTTACGATCGATTTATAATCTGATGACGTTGCACACATGTAAAACACGAAAAGCTGTTCATCTTGCCACTTAATGTAGTATAATATTTAATTAAATAGGTAAAGAAATTAGATGTGGCTATCATATGGACCATATATATAAATATTTTATACAAATTTGTTATATATAAATATTTTATATAAATTTATTACATATAAAAATATTATATATAAATATGATCTTACAGCGTTTTAAATAAATTCAAATCATAAATTCAAATCATAAATTTTCTCTGTAGTTTTAGTTAAGTTTCTTCAACCAAAACTAAAGAAACAAAATACCACTAAAATTGAAGTAATTAAAAATATAAATAAAAAGAATATTTATATAGAATAAATAATTAGAATATCTAAAAAACATGCTACCCAAACAAAATATAAAACAATATAGGACAAGATAATAAACAGAAAACTTGAAATTTTTAAACTTGGCCTACATTTAAAAATTGTAAAATTGTATTTTAATGTTACCTAATATCAACTGCGCATACTATTCTAAATATGGTTACGCTCCATTGCATTTGGGCGGCGTGTTTCTCAAAACAGTTGTTTGGCAAACTTAGAAAACTATCTTGCTGAGAACGAACAAAGAAAGACTTTGGTTAACAAACAAAGACCATTGTAAACGAACAAAGATCTCGGTGAGTTCTTGGTTATCTTATATTGAGCATGCAAATGTACTAAACCATTTATTTGCATTTAAATGCAAGAAAACCTACTTTAAAATTCAGCTTGTTCGTAAACTCTCGTAAAACCAATTTTCATATTGTCTAAATTAATTTAATTGTTTTTCATACCACTACTTACCTTTTTTTATCTCTCGTATCATTCTTCATTTCTCTTACCACTACTTATTGCTCTTCATCTCTCTTATCACTACTTATTACTCTTTTTCTCTCTTACATTACTTATCACTCATTACCTCTCTTATTAGTATTCATGTGTATTTAATTAAATAGTTTCTACAGATAGATTGGTAAAAGCCTAAAGCTATAAACACTTTTATTATAAACTTTTCTCTAATAAAGATTTTTCGCCTAAATATACAAAAAAAAAAAAAACTTTAAAAAACAAAAACATGCAGTTAGAAATATATTTCGAGCTGGTAAAGCTGTTCTTTGTGAAACTCTTTTACATATACTTGGTTTTGTTAAATATTTTCAAATTTAACATCCATCTTGTTTTACAGCTCATACATAAAAAATAATATCAATTGTCCTTAATTAAGAACAATCAATATTTTTTTTACTGCATTTTATAAAATCTTTGAAGATTTTAAAAGGTTTTATAAAATCTGTGAAATTTATTTTTAAGAAATAAACCATAATTATTCAACAAGATTTTTATTAAACCCTCTTTGCTGTACCAAAATTTCATTCACTACTGAGTTCATATTAAATTAAGAATCACGGACCAGTTTAGTAGAAAAGTTTTTCAACAAAACTGTTTACGAAAAAAAATTTCTTAAACGGTTTAAAATTGAATCAAAACACCATTTATCGCACATAGATTTTGACTTATTTTGTTATAAAAATTTCTTTAAAAATAGATAAAATCAATAAAAAATAAAAAAACAGTATAATAGTTATAATGAATATTACCACTAATCACTTTTTCTCACATTCTTTTAAAATTATTTATAATATTATTTATCGATTAATATGATCTCAGTGACATATTTTATACGTCTAAAAAAAGTATTAAAAACGTTTTTTTAATACAATATGTTTTTAGAGGTCTAGAGCACAACTTTTGTCCACGAATTGTACATTTGAATCTTTCCATTTAAATTGTACATTTGAATCGAATATCGATTTGTATATTTTTGTAAATATCTATTTATTTACTTATTTTTTCTGATTATATAACAAATTTTAACAGTTTCATTCAATAAAAGTAGAATAAAAAAGCGTTACCTTGTTTTAAATAACAACATAAAGGTATGGATGATAAAACACCAAAACTTTTTGAGTTCCTTCAAAAGATTGTCTTTTTCTAATTTTTTTAAAAGCAATAATTCAAAAGATTGTGGTGTCCTTTTCTAATTTTATGAAACAGATTGGTGCTGGTTTTTTCACAATTCTAAGACAGATAATTAACTTTAAACCAATGATTAAAATTTTTTGTTTCGATTTTTATTGCTTTAAACAGTAATTTTGTATTGGAGTGATTGACAAACAAGTTAGTATCAAATGAAGTTTTTATTTACAAGTTCAACCTGTTAATTGATTTTCAAATAAGATTGTATTTAGTATCAATTAGTTAAAAATTCTGTTGTAAACTTTCCTTTTAAATATTTTTAATTATAATTAAATAAGTAAGAGAAATAGAACAACAGTTAGAGACAGTAAAGAGATTTTATTTTTTTTAAGTTCGGTTGAATTTCGACTGATTTTAATTTATCAGGAAAAATACTATTCTCATCAGAAGATGCTGTTAAATAAAATAGTTATTTTTTCATTAGATATATTAGAGATAAGTTTCTCTTTCAAATTTTAAACCCATCTTTATTATATAAATCTTCTTATGAGAGCAGTATTTTTCCTGATAAATTAAAATCGGTTAAAAATCATCTAAACTTAAAAGAAAAAATTTCTTAACTAATTCTAACTGTTGGTCTATCTCTCTTATTTTAAATCAATTAAAAATTATAATTGAATACACAATTTAACATGCAAGAAATGGCCCAAAAAACAATAAAAATAAGATTTTAAAATTTCAATATTCATACATGCTTGTGGCCCAGGCGAAAATTTTTAAAGTTATTAAATTGAAACCTAAACTTACATTCAGTGTGTTATTAAACTTACATTAGTTTTAGTTAAAAATAAATTTTTCTTAAAATTATTTTCTGCTGAGTTTTTTGAAAATTAATTTATTTTATTAATACTTAGGTGATGGTTCTTTTTTTTCTTCTGGTTTGTCTTACTATACAAGTAAATGCATTGACTGATCCACTTCCCTATGAAGAAAGTAAGTTTTTTTATTTAGACAAATATTTTAAAATATATTTTTGTTTTACAAACTTTCCGCTTTTCTACACACACACACACACACACACACACACACACACACACACACACACACACACACACACACACACACACACACACACACACACACACACACACACACGCACACACACATAAACACACACATATAAGCTTTTATTAGAAGCAGAAGATCCAGGGTTCAATGCAAGCTATGGGCATATTTTACGTCATAAGTAAGTAAAAAAGCATTAACTTCCTAGTTAAATGCTCTTCCGCAGTGCTTTGTGACAAGTTGGTTATGTCTTTGTGACAAGTCGGTTATGTCTTTGTGACAAGTCGGTTATGTTTTTATTTAAATTTAAATACTGCAAAGTTCTTTTTTATCAAAGTTGTTAGTCTGTTTAATAGTTCAGTTTTATTTATTTTTAAAGCTCAATTTACCCCTACTAGACAGGGTGAAGCGTTAATTAGGTTTTAAAGAGAACTGTAAGACTTGAGAAGAAATGGCTTTTCATAACCAAAAATCCGATAAATCGATGAAATATTAACACTTAAGAAGTACCAGATAAAAAAATATAAATATCTAAGAGAAAATATTATTAATTTTCTACCTTTTTGCTAAAAACATAAAAAGTGCTCGTATATCTTACTCGACTGCTATCTAACAATTTTTTGTTGTCCATTCTGTACCGTTCTAATTACTTAACTCGCATACATTAAATCTTTCGCAATGCCTTGAGAAATTAATTTGTAGAACTTTTCTCTATGCTCAACTAGCTCCGCTCTTTTCTACAATTTAACTGGCTTTCAAAAAATTTGACAAAAACTTGATAATATGGTAAAATACTTGCGATCATTAAAAGTTAAATACTATTCACAAACATCACATCTTAGAGCAAGAAGTCAAAGTGTTCAAAGTCATTGGTGGCGTTTAAAGTTTAACATTATACGCAAATTTTTTTCATGGTTTATCTGTGCTTTATCATATCTCGTGGTTAAAAGTATATCACATGTTAGAATGTTATTGACTGGCCACTTATAAGGGATGTGTCATTAAGTATAATAGATAGTAAACTTTAACAGAAAACTCATATCAATAAAAATTCTGTAAACAAAATTCATCAGCATATTTAGAATAAATGAACCAATCTTTAGTATTTTTGTCCTAGTTCGGAAATTGTGGGCCTGTGTTTTACATACTTTTTAAAATGTTATATCTTAGAAAGAAACATTTTCAGCATATAGTTTTTACAAGTTATTTGTTTCGCCTTACAAATTACATATATAATTTTTTAATTTTTAAGATTTTTTTTTTCTTTACGTTTTGAAAAATAAACTTTTATTGTTGAACTTATAAGCTGTCAACAGCTTATAAGTTCACCAAAAAAACTTTTTGGTGAACGTATTTGGTGTCTTTTATCAACAAAATGTATTTCTTTGTAGATTGCAACATTGAAAAATTCCACCTGAAATTTTTTTTTTAGGATTTATTATTGAATCATCAATTCCATCATAATCATGTTGAGGTTTTTCCTCGATACTCTTTTTATGCTTGAATGAACGAATTCGAATTATGAATGAATGAACGAATTAGAGTGTGATGATGTAGTACAATAGTAAGTTCCAGTCTTCTAGAACAGTCTTGTTATGTTTTTACCCAATTTCAAACTTTGGTTACGTACCCAATATTTCTGCTAACTCATTTACAGTAACCTGTGCTTCATCCAGTATTTCTATACTTAAACAGTAATACTCTTGTTCATTATTTTTGAACAAGAAATTGTTCATTATTTTTGTTAGGTTTATGCTGTATCCGATTTATTTTATATATTTATAATGAATTTATGAGTTCCAATTAAAACCCAGTAAGTACAATTATGTTGGGCCAACATATATAAATACATCGCGAACGTCGGTGTACGTTGATCCAATGTTGTTTGCATTATAGTTATATTAATGAAAATCTTAATAACAACGTGATCAAAAATAGTTAGAAAAATTACATAGGTCCAACGTATGTAAAAACATCGCATTGAATGTTTTTCCGATCTAAACCCAACATTGATCCAATGCATAGGGATCAACGTTGATCCAATGCATAAGGATTAAGGTTGCTCCAATGCTTATAACCCAACGTTAATCCAATGTGTATGGATTAACGTTGAATTATATACATTGAATCAACGTTGATACGCATGCATTGGAATAACGTTGGATTATATAAATTGGGTTAACGTTGATCCATATGCATTAGAAAAGCGTTGGGTTATATACAGTGGATCAACGTTGTGTTTGCATCGAGAAAAGGCATATATAATTATACATATATATATTTGTATAAATTACAAATTTATACAAATATATATATATATATATATATATATATATATATATAATTATATATGCTTTTAAAATGTATAAATATAACTTTGTGAAAAAATATAAAGCAAAATTAGTTCCGATAAAAATTAAATATAACGTTGTTTAAACTAGTGATGTAAATTTTCCAGTAAAATTTGATTCAAAATTTACCGGTAAATTTACCTGTAAATTTTAATTAGAGAACGGTAAACTTTCCTTTAAAAAATCAAAAAAAAAAAAAAAAAGAAAAAAAAATAAGTGAAAAAAAATTTTTAAATTTACAGGCGGTAAATTTTCAAAATTTTCCTGAAATTTACCGGAAAATTTTCCGGTAAATTTTACCTTCGCAACACTAGTTCAAACGTTAAATACAACGCACAGTGCCTCACAGATACGAAAAAACGGCAAAAACCCTATTAATTTTTTAAATTTATTTTGATGTTTTTTAACTTTATCTTGATTGTTATAAGCATACTGAACAAGGTAAACCCATTTTTTATGATTTTGTAAATTTTTACTCTTTTTGTGAGCTTGTTATATGCAGGTTGTTTGTGGGCAAAAATTCACTAGAAATTTTAGAGTTTTCAAGTAGATCTTAAAATTGTCACAAAATGGTCATTTTAAAAAATTTTTTCTTTCATTTTTTCGGTGAACATCATATATATATATATATATTATATCATCCGGTAAGTAACTGACATTGGACTTTTATCAACACCAAAAATTAATGTTCGAATTTCACAATTTGTGAAAAAATTAAAAATTTTCAGAAAATAATATTCACAATATTTACTTTTTCTAAAAATGTCCACACTTGTCCACCCTGAATTTTGATGGGGAAGTATCTTGAAAATATAAAGGAATGCCCGGAAAAAAAAACCCGCCCCAAAGCAGCACGTTTTTGAGAAATTGAATTTTAAAGTTTTTTGCAATTAATAAGAAATCCGCAAAAAGTTGTTTACAAATCCTAAAAATTAGTTAGTAATATGTGCTTTTGTGATTACATCTCAAAATGAAAATAATAGACTTGATTTCCAAAGTAAGAGAAATTTGTATAACTAACAAGGATATTGTGAGCCTCCTTTATGAGGAAATTTTGATATCAGAAGGTTTGGATGGTGAAAAAGTGCATAGTGAAAAATTAACAGAAAAAATCCGAATTTTGGTGATAAAATTGAAAGCTAAGTGGATTGCAGTAAACAAAACATATGACAGGCTGTTAATGAAAGAAAAGAAATGGTTGCAAACCGAAATTCAAATTGTTATGAAAACTGACAATGTAAGCAGAAAAGAGTTCAGTGGAGGGCGACCAAAGAAAGATTAGAAAGATCTAGGAGAGAGAAGTAAGCAAACAAGAGTTGTTGGATTATCTGCGCATGATCCAGAGGTTTTAGCTCTGGCTGCTGTTAAAAGTGCAAAATCATCAGGTGACTTACAAGACTTTGCTTATGTGGTTAAAGAGTCTATTCAGAAAGCATCTGAAATCAGAAAAAGTATGGACAGCAAGGAACCAATAATGATGAGTGAGAAAGAAGCACTTTCATTAAAAGTTAATTGTGATCTCAGTGATGATCAGTATCAAATGATAAGAAACTCCTCAATCAAACACAATGCCAATATTTATCCAACATTACATGCTCTATTCAAGGAAAAAAGTAATTGTTATCCAGAGGACCTTGTTGTAACTGAAACTTCTGCTGAAAGTAAATTACAGTCCATGGTGAATCATACTCTTAAAAAAGTTATTGTATTAAGTGAAGACAATTTAAAAACTCTGGATCCAGATAAAAATATGCTCAAAGGTCGTTTTATTCTAAAAGCAGGGTTTGATGGTGCATCAAGCCAAAGTTTGTATAAACAAAGATATGATAACACAGACATTGAGGAGGCTAAAAAAAATGAAGAATCCCTTTTCCAAACTGCAATTGTACCTCTTAAGTTAAGTGTAGAAAGTAAAACAATTTGGGAGAATAAGAAACCAAATAGTTCTCATTTTTGCAGACCTCTTCGTCTTCAATGCAAAAAAGAAACCACAGAACTTAGCAAGTCAGAAGAAAAACACATTCGTGATCAGATGGCTGGTTTGGAAGATTATGTTGAGATTATTACACTTGCAGATGGAAGAAAAGTCAGTATCAATATAAAATCTCATGTTGAACTAACCATGTTTGATGGCAAAGTGGTTAATGCCTTAACCAACACAAAATCATCTGCAAGCTGCAATATATGTGGTGCGAAACCATCAGAAATGAACAAGCTAGATCTAGTTAAAATTAAACCTGTGAATGATGATGCTATGTCCCTTGGTTTATCATCATTGCATTGTTGGATTAAATGTTTTGAATACATACTTCATTTAGGCTACAGACTGGAGATGACTATTCCAAGGACAGATGTCAGGTTAGCCGAAGATAAGGTACTTGTTCAAGCTAGAAAAAAAACTATTCAAGATAGGTTTAGAGCAGAACTTAGTTTACTGGTAGATGTTCCAAAAACTGGATTTGGGAATACAAATGATGGTAATACTGCGCGAAGAGCATTCATGCATGGTGAGGCTTTTGCTGACATAACAGGAGTTCAGGTTGAGTTGATTCTCCGGGTGAGGACAGTTCTTCAAGCTGTTTGTTCAGGGTATGACCTAGATATTGATAGATTTAGCCAATGCTGCAATGAGACTCTAGCCTTTATAGTTAATAACTATGATTGGTACAGAATGCCTCCAACTCTTCACAAACTTCTAGTTCATGGACCTGCAATTGCTGAAAATCTAGAACTACCCATTGGTTATTATTCTGAGGAGGCTCAGGAGGCCCAAAATAAAGTGATAAGACATGCTAGGTTAAACCACTCATGCAAAATTTCCAGACTAAATGTAATGAAAAATCAATTTCAATATTTGCTGATCAGAACTGATCCAGAAATTTCGTCGATCAACTTCATAAAACACAAATCTTCCAATGGAAACCCCTTGTCTGAACAAGTTCTTAACTTGCTGAAACACTAAGTTTAGTTTTTTTGTTTAAATCTAAATTATATTGTTACATGTTATATATGTTATATGTTACAACATACAGAAATTGTAGATATTTGTTTCTGAATAATGTAATCTTTATTGTTTTCACTGTTTACTGACAAAATCGGCTGTTATTAAAGGATTATATGTAGAGTGTTTAAAAACATTGAAAATTTGTCACTTTTTATTTAAATAAACTATATATATATTTTTGAATTTGTCTCTATAAGTACAATAAAAAACGACAGAAAAGCATGTTGAGAAAGTGGGAAAAAAATTCAGAATTTGCAAATTTGCAAAAATATTTTGAAAAAAGTGTGCAAAATTATTTTCTGACTTTCGGGTTGGGTTACTGATTAAATTTTAATATATTTAGAGCCAAAAAAGGTTGAAATCCATTCAAAAACACTGATTTGAGGGTTTTTGCCGTTTTTCCGTAGCTGTGAGGCACTGTGCAACGTTTCGCTAACTAAAATACAGCGTTGAATTAACGTAAAATATTACTTTAAAAATTTAAATATTAAGTTAAAATATTAAATTAAAAATTTAACGTTAGATCAACGTTGTTTTTTTATTGTTGGTGACGTTGCATTTGTAACCAAAATGATATAAAAACAACGTTGTGGTTGATGTTAGGTTTACGCAAGGCGCAACATTGTTTTAAGGTTTTGTCAACGTACGTGTGCTAGCTGGGAAGGTTATCTCTATCTCTATATCACTTTCTTAACCTTATCAAAAACAAAAACTAATGCAGAAATTGCTTATATTGTCACGATCAGTAGTTCTATAACAATCTACACATTTCTAGACTGATCTATGTCATTCTACAGTGTTCTATGCCGTTCTACACAAATCTAGAAGTACCTAAAAAGTTTCACAGCCTACTGCTTTGGTCACAACGTTACCATGACTATGATTTCTAAAACGCAGCAGTATTAGTTTTATGGCGATACCTAATTTTAATTTTGGGTTATCTTTTTTGATAATCTAATAAAACTGGATGTTTTTTTATTGTTTTTAGGTAAAAATTCATCAATTTATGATATAGGAAATGTAGTATTAAAAAAAAAAACTTAAAAATTTATAGAGTAGAATCTTGTTAACTCGGACCCTGGATAAGCCCGACTTTTACTAAGTCGGTCGGATTTAAACTGTTTATTAAAAATGTCGAAGATTGATAAAAGAAAGCCAACAAGTAGAACTATAAAAGAAAAGTACTAAAAGAACTCGACGAAGGAAAATCATCTATATAAAAAAAAGGCATTCCAAAGCAAATATTGTCTGGATGGTCAAAAGATAAAAACACAATATATCAGTCGAAAAATTAAATTTTCTACGTAAATAGTGAAGATGTAAATCTCCCTAAATGTGGATTTGGATAAAGCATGTTATACTGGCTTTTAAACACTTGAGACAAAACATTTATGTATCATTTTGTGACAATCAATCTTAAAATTTCGATGAGTCAGACATTTTCAAAAAGTCTGTCATAATGAAAGCTTCGCTTAATTTGGACATTCGCTAAGTCGGACAATATACATATACCCCTTCAAAGTCCGAGTTAACGGGGTTCTATTGCATCACTAACTATATATATATATATATATATATATATATATATATATATATATATATATATATATATATATATATATATATATATATATATATATATATATACATATATATATATATATATATATATATATATATATATATATATATATATATATATATATATCACATTTTACGGCAACTTTTAAATGTTGAATTATGATAATACTTTTTCGTTTTATTACTATAAACCTTTTTTTAATTACTAGATATCATAATTATCTTTAAACAAAATCTTTAAATGTAGGTATTTTGAAGCACGATTTAATAAAATGCATGCCAGGACACGAGTTTCAGTGGGAAAAAACTGAACCCGACGGAAATAATTTAAAACTAACATATTCTTGCGCAGGTAGGCTAATATTATTATTTATAATTTTTTTAATTTATTTTTTTTTATGCTAAAGAATTGACGCAAGAAAAATTATAAAACTAATTCACCAAACCTTTGGGTTATCCTTTTAACGTCATATTTTACAAATTATAGTTTTGAAAATACGGCATCTGATTCTGTCGCTATTGTTCATTTTAAAACTTAAATTTGGTTTAGCAGTGCAAAAAAGAGTCAAATGAATTAGTTAATAGCTTTATTTTTTCTTGAATAAAACGACTTATGGTAACATTTTACTACGCGTGTAACATAATATTATATTATACATGCGTACACGTTTTTGTGTGTGTGTGTTTTGTTTGTTTGTTGTGTTTTGTTCTTTTAACAATTAATTTCTGGTAAAGAGTTGTTGTAAACAAAATATAAGAACACGAAAACCTGAAGAGGATTGTAAAATCCTGTCACCGAGAACAGATTAACAACACAATAACAATAAACCAATTATTTCAAAAAATATAAAATGAAAAGTATATACCGTTTAAAAAAACAATACAAATAAAATTAGGTATCTCAAATATAAAACACTGTTTAACAAAACAATAAAAAATATCAAATAATTTAATTTTTATTGGAAAACACTTATAAAAAAAATCGAGATCAAAAGAACTCGAATATATTATCTATTGAGAAAATAACTTTAATTTAAGTTTATTTTTGAAAGTAGAAAAACTTCAACTTTAATTTTTTTTAAAACTATTTTATTTCACGAAAAAACTCCGATATAAGAGATCCTCCAAAATTTGTATGCGAATAATGTTGATAAATAAAGTTGTCATTTCTTAGATTATATTTGTTTTTGGCTTTATTGCATATAAATTTTGAAAAAATAAAGGAGTTGAGTTTAACTTACATTTGAATATAAAGCAAAGAACACTAAAAACATTTAGTTGGTATATATTAAGAATACTCATTTCGAATAAAAGAGGTTTATAACGATCTTTAAAGTTTATTAGACTTATTAGATGCTTCTGTTGCTGTTAAAGGGGATCTAATTAATTTTTTTTTAACACTATCCTATGCGATATTTACATAGTTTAATTGGCATTGGGTATGTGAGCAATAAAGTTGAATTAATGTATGTCAATTTACAAAATTTCTTGCTTTGTATAATATTCAAAAAGTCTTTGTTGCGTAAAGTTTCAATATGATTTTTCCATGTGAGATTTTCATCAATAAGAACACCAAGAAAAACTTTTGGTTGCTTTATTTGAATATCATTAATATATATTTGAGGCATATCATTTTCCAATTTGTTCATTTTGTTTTTTCTGTTAATTGATAATTTATTTGGCTTAAACCATTTTGAAATTTTAATTAGCTCCATGTTCATCTCATTAAATAGTGTTGTAATATTATTACTAGACAGAAAAAAGTTTGTGTCATCAGCAAACATCACTGGTTTTAAATTTGAGGCATTATAAAGGTCATTAATATATATGAGAAAAGAAGTGGTCCTAGTAAAGACCTTTGGGGGACATCACATTTATATCTAGTAAATTGATTGAGGAGGATTCATCAATTTGCACATACTGTTTGTAGTAGAGGAGGATTTATCAATTTGCACATACTGTTTGTAATAGAGGAGGATTCATCAATTTGCACATACTGTTTGTAATAGAGGAGGATTCATCAATTTGCACATACTGTTTGTTGTAGAGGAGGATTCATCAATTTGAACTGTTTACGATTGCTTAAATAGCTCTTTGGTAATTTTAGAAAATTTCCGCACAAAAAATTCCATAATTTTTAATAAGAATCTCATGATCTATTCTATCGAAGGCTTTTGATAGATTAATGAATACTCCAAGAGTAAGTTGTGATTTCTCAAACAAATCTGCAATATTTTTAGTTAGATGAAGCACTGCGTGTTCAGTGGAATTATTACTATTTTTTTAATTCTTTTTGGGTTATATCTATTTATAGAAAGATGATCATAAAGAATCCTTTCAAAAATCTTTGAAAAACCAGAAAGTAAAGAAATTGGACGATAATTAGTTACATTTAATAGTTCTCCCTCACCTCCTTTCCTCTTTTTTTTTTTTAAATATTGGCACAACTCAGAAAATATTCCTTGTTTTATTGAACAACTAACGACCTAAAAAAAAATATAGTTTTTATAATCTCGAAAGAAGCAATTATAATGTTACCATTTATTTGATCTGGGTCTATCGCCTAATTAATTTTTTAGCATTTTGTAAGCACATTCAAAACTAATGGAAAGTTATTAAGTATAAAATTTAGGGGAAGAATAAAATCATTTATTTTGTAAGTTAAAATGTTTTTTGGACAAGTAGTTACAAATAAGTTATATATTTGATTTTCTCTTTATGATTATGTAAAAAATCATTTTTTTTAATAACTTTTTTGTAAGTTATATACGTAAATTTTATTATTGCCAGTAATTTAATTTAAAATTTGCCATATGCCTTTAGAAATATGTTTAAACTTCACTAATAAGTTTGAGTATAATTTTTTTTTTTTTACTTTCAAAATGCTTTACGTGCTTTTTATAAATTGACTTATTTTTATCTGTTTTCGACTTTAAATACTTGATAACTTTTATAATATTTTAATAATATAATTTTCCTAATAACTTTAGAAAATTTCCTGAGTTCTTTGGTAATTAATGATGACTTTATACTATTTTTGTTTATGTTTACTTTGTATTGTGGGAAGTTTGCATCATAAACTTCAAAGAGTGTTTTAAAGAACGAGTTGTAATATTATCTAATATCATATTGTCATAATAAGGAAGCTGTTTTTAAAGTTACTTTTATTATTGTTATGTTTACAAGCAAGGATGCGTATACCCTAGTATGTTTACACATCAGGATGTTGACGTCCTTACCACATTTTAAAAAATATTTTTCTTTTTTAATTACTTAAATATTTGTATTTAGTTATTATAAAAATAAGAAATAAATAAAGAAGTTTCAAAGCAAAACTATATTAAGCTTGAAAAATATCATACAAAATGTATTTAATGACTGAGATTTACATTAGGAAGTGGAAAGCGCGAAAAAGAATATAGTTGTGAGAGTGGATACAAAGCATCATCAAAAAGAGATGTATTATGCGATCCAGGTCCTGATCCAAATTTCGGAATATTTCGAGGCGGAAAAGATCCAAATGTCATGGACTCGGCAAGAATAGTTTATTTTTGTATGAGAAAGTCTGTGAACAATCTTCCAAGATGCAAATAATTTATGTATTTATATTGTTTACTTATATTATACATTTTAGAACTGTTTTTTATATTATTTCTTAAAACTAACTTATGATGTTTAATATCCTAAAGTTAAAGAAGTTAATTTTTAAAAACTAAGCACGATATTCATATGCGATGTTCACTTAAAACTGTTGAATTTGATACGTCTAAAACATAAAAAAACATTGCGACAACGGGAGATAAATAAAGTCAGCGACCTATAAAAATAAATTATCAAAAATAAAATAAATATATATCTTTTACATATTAATACTTTCTTTATTGATAAGGAATTCTTCGCATCCATAGCAACCGTCGCATTGAAACTCTCTATTTATAGCAGATTTACTTAACCTTGAGCGCACATAAAAAATGTGCCGATAAGTTAAATTGCAATCAACTTCAAACAGCTTTAGAAGTTCTGGATACAGTTTACTTGCTGTAGACAACATAATTAAATCTCTGGAGTCAGGAAACTCCTTTAAGTTCCGAAGTCTATCTTGATAGTTCGAAAAAAAGTTTAAAAAAACAAATTTTTTTTCTCGTTTACTCGATGTTTCGCTTAAATTACTGATTTGAGAATCAGAACTCTGTCTACTAGTTAATGATAACGAACTTAATCTACGCGTTTTTAGATTTGAGTATGAGTTCAGTGTATTTGTATCAAAAGTCGGCGATCTTTTTAAAGATGGAAAGTTTTTTTGTTTTGAGTAAATGTTAGAAATGCGTAATGACGAAAATTTGCGTCCATTTCGTCTTTTGCTAAATGTTCCTTGTTCTCTTACAAAAAAGTTAGTTTCTAAAAGTGTGCTGCGTTTGGTCCATGGCACGTAAATTTCCATTGAGGTAAAGATGTTACTTTCATTATGATTATCAGCATGAGTTTCATTATCTGAAATTAAAAACATTTGTTAAATGTATAAATAATAAAAAACAGTGTTTTTCCAAATTATAACATAAACATAACTTGTATATTAAAACTCTGTTAACTTAAAACTTTGTTATCCTAAAAACTTTTTTAACCTAAAAACTTTGCTAACCTAAAAAATTACAATTTTCCTTTTGAAGGAACTATTTATAATGGATAAAAGCTGGCAAGTTTAAAGTCTTTTTTTTGGATTAAAAGCATTAAGAAAATGATTGAATTTTACAAAAAAAAGTATTATAAACTGTATTATTAGTATTACTTTATGTATGGATTAAAAATTTATAGTGTTTAAATTTCCAGACTGTATCAAAGAGTGAAACAATATTAACTCAAACAATATTTAAAATAATTCTCAGTAAAACTTGTTTAAAAAAATAGCTTATGAAAGTTAATAGTTAAAAATATATCGAATATGTTAGTGTCAATAACCGCATAAAAGAACGTTTTAACAATATTTAATATTTATTTAAATAAATGTTTCCCTTAACAAAGAAATTTTCATCATTATGACGATTTTTCAGCATCTAATGTTAACAAAGATTTTGGGGGTTTTTCTGACATACTCTTTCCTACTATGCAATATAGGCAAACATATTATTTTTTACATTAAATAACTAGGTGAATCATTTAATTTGTGAACTAATATTTTTTTATTCGGACCAAGACACTTTAATCTTGAAAATAAACAAAAACAGAAAATATTCGTACACATCCTTTAAATCCTTCTAGTTTTTATTCTTTAAGTTTGTGTAGTACCTTGTTACATTTTACTAAGAGACTCGTTATGTTAGGCGCATCAAGTTAGATATATTTTTTATTAATCTCATTCTTCTTTCATTTTTACTTCGAACTAGCCTTTTTAAAATATAAACTAGCATGGGTCCCATCATAAGTTGACAGCTAGCCGACAAGTAAGTACATGAATAACCACGGTAGCCGACAAGTAAGTACGAGAATAGAGTAAATCAAGTTTAGTAATCTTATAGTTTGTTTATTTAAGTCCAAAAGCATTTTCTGAAAATGTAAAGTTAATAGCACACCAAGATTTTAACATTTTAAGTTCATATGGAAGACACAAGTTAAAGATTCTTCTTTAATTTACTTCTAAGCAAACTACTACGTTGGTAATAAAAATTTACTTCTAAGTAAAGTACTACGTTGCTAATAAAAATTTACTTCTAAGCAAAGTACTAAGTTGCTAATAAAAATTTACTTCTAAGTAAAGTACTACGTTGCTAATAAAAATTTACTTCTAAGCAAAGTACTACGTTGCTAATAAAAATAGATAAAAACAATAAAAATAATCGAAAAAATTTAATTAAGTGCTAACGCAAGTAAAACTTTCTCTAATTGTTTTAATTTAAATTGATAAAAATACGTAAACCTTAATTAAACTTTTTTTAGATAAAAACATAAAATTCAGTTTACTATATTCTTCTGATAATATGAAAACGCTAATTTAATATTATTATTACTATTAGTCGAGTTACGTCATTTTCTAGGCTTTTCTATTTTAAAGTAGTTTCTAGGCTTTTCTATACGCGGTTTTTTTTTTTTAATTTTATTTACTAACAACGCGTATTACGGGTTGCTTACTGCTAGTTATAATAATTTAGATTAACTCAAGCTGTCATGAGTCGAAAAATAAAGCTGCAAGATTGTACGTAACTGCATTTGCGTGGTTTTAAACCTATAGGAATTTATTGCCTTCAGAAAGCTTGTCGCTTGGCTCAGAAACGTAAGATCCGAGGTTCAAACCCCACCTCTGGGCAAGTTTTGCGACATCGGTTGGGAAGGAGGCGTGAACTTCCCATTAAATGCTCTTCCGTGGTGCTCTGTGATAAGACCGTAAGGACTTCTTGGGGCACCTTAATCAACTTAAAAAAAAAAAAAAAAAAAAAAAAATATGTATACAGATGTGAAATTATTTATATCATTTTTAACATATGCAATAAAATAGTCATAAAATCCTGGATATTAAAAAACTGTTAACTACTTTCAAATAGAGATGTTATCTATAATGAGGATGTTACAATTGCTTTTAGAATAATATTTTTTTGTTTTCGTTTAAAAATCAATTTAATGTTTGTCTTCAATGATTTTTTTGGTAAAAAGCGAGGCATAAGTTAATAATAACCTTATTAGTATATATGATTCAAGTTACACTAACTGCAGTGAAGCCAAAGCTTTACTGCAGTTAGTGTAACTCTTCTTGTTATTTTGTTGAAAATAGTTATTGAAAAATTATTTTATCTAAAACCAATAAAAACTTTTAATGCTGCTGTTCTTCAAAACAACAGAATAAAGATTGTTATTTTAACTTCAATTACAAAATACAGCATTTTTTCTTAAAAAATCAAACATTTCTTTAATGGCAAACTATTTACTTTTAGAATCATGATAAATCTTTTTGGCATAGAGTTGATGAGTTTATCAAATTTTTCTCGTGTAATTGTGTAATTTTTAGGTAAAGTTCAACTTGATGCCATAAATTTTTAAATCAGATTGAGATCAGGTGACCACTTCATAAAATTTGTTTCATTAAACGTGTTTAGACTTTTTTTTTGGGTTGGTGAAATTTTAATGGAAGAGGCATTTTTTTATCAGCATGATGATCCATCTTTTTATCACCATGATGATCCATCTTTTTCTCAAAAAAATCACAATAAACAAATTAATTCATAATGCCATTTATTCGATGGAAAGGTTCAACTTCACTTAAATCAGAAAAACAACACCAAACCATTCAACCTTTTCGACCACTATACTTTACTATTCAACTTGGAAATATTTTGAACCCAAATGTTTACCATTAGGTCCAAATAGGATATTTCAAATTTTACTTTAATTTATAACACCACAATACTCTTTTTCAAATATTAATGAAACTCAAAAGTTCTGTAAGTTATAGTCGTTTGTAGACTACATTTTCTACACTAAAAGTTTTAGCGTTAAAACTATACCATTAACACTGTCAATAAGATTCTTTTTTGACATGACAAATAATTTCGTTCTCATTAAGTTAAATAAAACTTGTGTCATTATTTAGGACCAATACCCTAAAAAATTATTTAGGACCAATACCCTAAAAAATTATTTAGGACCAATACCCTAAAAAATTATTTAGGACCAATACCCTAAAAAATTATTTAGGACCAATACCCTAAAAAATTATTTAGGACCAATACCCTAAAAAATTATTTAGGACCAATACCCTAAAAAATTATTTAGGACCAATACCCTAAAAAATTATTCAGGACCAATACCCTAAAAAGTTTAATGCGTGAGAATCTTTTGATATTATAAAGTTCTCTTTTTAAACCAGCGCACAGTGGGGCAGAATGGCTTTAAAACTGGGCAAAATTAGTTTTTTTTTTTTTTTTTTGGATTTTCAAGTTGAATAATTATTTTAAGGGCTCTTGTTAGACTTATTTAAACGTTTTTTTAGAATTGTCAGACGTTTTTAATGTATTTTCGAGTAATTTTGATAAAGTTTTTTAAAAAACCAGTAAGTAATAATATAAAAAAGAAAAAAATTAAAAGCTTGCATGAATAAATAATATTAAAACGTATTCTATTTGGTTCACTAAAATAAATTACAGTAAATCGAATATGATTTAAAAAGTCAATAAAAAAAAGTTACTCAAAAACTCGATTAGTTTTATTGGTTTTAATTTGCTCAAAACAAATCTTACAACAACAAAAAAAACGTCAAAAAACATCATAAATCATCAAGCTATTTGTAGGAACCAATAACTTGATGAATTGTTAGATAAACACCCCATAGCGCAACTAGTTATTAATGATGTTTTTTTACTGGTTTCACATCCAAAATTAGTGATTTAAATTTAGAATTACAATGAAAAAAGAAGATAAAAATTAAAATGATCATTAGTATTAATACATACAAAATTAATTATGCTAATAAAAGATCCATAATAAAATTAATTATGCTAATAAAAGATCCATAATAAAGTTAATTATGCTAATAAAAGATCCATAATAAAAGAATTTGAATCACTTTATATGTTTGATCACCAACAAAAAAAAAATCGAATAGTTTAGGGAACCTCTTTAAAATTTTGCTAAATATCAAAAAGTCTATACAGCCACATTTATAATGTGATTGTAGAGACTTTTTGTAAATGGCATTTAGATTTTGGAGCTTCACAACTTAAGTTTGCACAAGGACCTCGAGTCAGCTCGGAACGGCCCTGTTTAAATTTATGAAAATCACACGCATAGATTAAACGAAAGAAAAAAAAGTTAACATAACACATAACCGAAAGTTCAATTATATATAAATATGCGTATGATGCTATGAACTAGATTAAATATTCGTATGATGCTATGAACTAGATAAAATTTGAAAAGGGTAAACAAAAAAAAGTAGTATGTAACAGTTATAATAATACAGGCAAAAAAAAATTGGCAGTTGAAGGTTAATCTTTTTGTAAAGTGCAACACATTTATGTAACAAAAAGTTATCAATTATAACCTCAAAAATGTAAGTTACACAGCCGCTTAAAATTTGTGTTTAGACAAATTTTAAGCGACTTTTAATGGGGAAGGAAGGGGGCAAAGGGTGTCGCACCCCCCTCACACCCCTATCGCGCCGGCCTTGGTTTAGATTAATCGCTGTTGAGTATAAACATCGCAAAACAACAGTTTATAAAGAAATATTCAACAGAGGATGGCTTAACTATGAATTGTTTGTTCATTAAAATATATTTATTCCTTATTAACCTTCAACTGCCTTTTTTTGTTGTTGCTTATTAAATAACGCTGCACAGTCGCTTATAATTTGTGTTTAGACTAATAGTAACTGGATAAGAGACAGAAAAGCTCCATGAATGGAACCTTGGGGGACACTGCATTCAACTCTTAGTAGTTTTGAGTGTTTAAAATTATCTAAAAAAACACATTTATTCCTTTGATTTACTAATTTCGGCAACTCTCCCCAT